TGTTTGAGCATAAACAATATCTGCAAAGTTACGAAGCTGAAAGTTCAATGCAAACGGAGATAGAGTCTTTTAAAATTCTGGCAGTTTAATGCCTACAAAAATGGCTGGTAGGGACTACAACGAGTTACTTCCCGGGTTCGTGACATCACAAACCAAGACTTTTTAATGACCCGCAGACACCCTGAAGGATGAATTAAATTATTCATCTTTTCTTTTTAAACTTTTAAGCAGCAAAACCGTTTTCAACTGTGAATCAGCATCAAATCAGCATATTAGAAGGATTATGTTGCACAAAAAAAATTCAGCTGCACCATCAAATTAATAAATTAAATTTTAAAATATTAAATTAGAAAACTGTTATTTTAAATTGCATTTCCTGATGGCACAGAACGAGCAAATCTATTCTAATAATAACATTTCACAACGTAACTGTTTTTAATGTATTTTTGATCAAATAAATGCAGCCTTGGTGAGCTTAAGAGACTTTTCAAAAACATTAAGAAAATCTTATCAGGCCCAGATGTTTGAACAGTAGCATATGTTAAATGGAGCTGAGAGTACTACACTTTTTATTGGCTGAAAGTATAATGAAATTAGCCAAAATGTCTGCTAAAGAGCATTCCAAGGGAAGTGAACTTGCAAAACTGTGTGAACAATGAGAATTCCATTTCCGGGCACAGATTCCGTGTGAGCCTGCTAATAAGCTATCAGCACAGCAGCCATGGAAACGGATTAATCAGAGGCAACGAAAGCGATTCCGCTGGGGGGCACTGACCGAGTTAGGATAGTTGAGATAGCAGATCTGACATGGCATGTCCTGTGCCGACGATCTTGTGTTCATGAGGCGTGTCCGAGACTTCTTGCTGGGGTTTATAACGTGACACTCTGAAAATAGCTTGTCCAGGTTACCATCAAAGTACCTGCAAAGAGATAAACAGTAGATTTTTCTCAAAATTTGCTGGTTCAGTATTGAACAAAGACAGATGTTAGCTGACTAAATAATCTGGTGGGAGGAAACAAAACACACAGAACAGTTACCTTTCCATCAGCTTTTCTTTGTCCCAGTTGAAATGACTAAGTAATATTCTAGTGATTGTAGCAGGATTCTGTAAAAAGAGAGATAGGCATACATCTTTTTATCCATCAAAAAAAGCAAACAAGCACACATTTAACAAAAAACAAACCAACAAAATATTAGTTTAATTTTACATATATACATATACACATTTTGCACACACATATAGGCTACGTGCATTAGAATGCTTCCAGTTACATTTTTTTCTGAGCAAAAACCATGATTTTTTAACCATGATTTACAGAAAAAAGAAATTCGGTGTAACAACAGTTTGTATACCAAAAATCTTGTCATATTTAGAACAAGAATCATTAGATGACAATAAAAGGTTTTACCCATTTGTCAGCCAGAAGTATAAATCATTAAAAATATAATAACATTTTGTATGGTCACTTATTCTTTTAAATATTTTAATATAAGGTCAGAATAAGTATGTTGCCTCATTTTTACATAATATGTTACACTGAAGGACGATGGAGCATTATTTTACCCATATTTTTATATTTTAGTTTCACAAACGTTATTCGAAACATTAAATTAGACACTTTACTTGCATTTAAAATGCTTTCTGTGTATATAAAATCACTTTTGTAAACTTTATTTGATAAAAAGGTCTTTCACAGTGTGGCCATCAATAAAATTCTTAGTGAAAAATTTTTATTTGTCAGTTATACCTCTGACTACCATAACTCACTAAAAAATAAAATAAAAATTGTAATGGTCACAAACTGCTAGTTTTCTGCTTAAATTATGGCTAGATAAATAATTTGTCAGGAAAAGTTTACTAATATTGTTATTATTTTGTGACAAATTACTAATTAAAGCCTAAATAACGGCTAGCTGGGTTTGTGTCACGAACAACAACACTCCAAAGAGCAGCGATGAAGTGATTCCCACTGTGTTGAGACAACAGAGTTCATTCTTGCCTCTCAGGGAGACAAAGCCTATACTACAGTACTCCAAAAAGGTTATGGGGGCAGACATGTCAAGGTGCACATTGACAGGCAATCCAGAGGGATGCGGGGAGACGTGACCACCATAACCTTCTGGATTTGCCACCACACTAACTAGACGATCCTCAACTAAACCAAGGTATTCTTTCCCTCCTGTTGAAAGTGTAAGCAAGCTTGAAAGGTACTGGAACACACAGCAGACACTATATACGTATGAAGCAAGCCACAGCATTAATCACTGCAACTTATCACAGTAACAGCATGTAAACATAATAAAGTGCATTTGCTGACGGCACAGAACGAGCAAATCTAATCAATTAGCACAAAATCTGGAAATTAACCAGCATAAACAAAACAAACTGCGGGACGCAGAGTGAAACGTCGAGCTTCAGGAGACAGTTAATACTCCAAACAGCCTGTGGCTATGACACTGCAGCAGAAAGCTAACATAAATCATTACTCAAATTCACTTTGATGGGCTATTTTTGTGCTGTTTAATCAAACATAACCAGCCATGATGAAGCTTCGGTTCCGCCATGTTGTTGTCGGGAGCAACTAGGTAACTATCTCACATGCTAACGCGACATAACCCATATCCCAGCTTCACAGATGATGAAGACGACACCTTCTTCTTCATCAGACTATTAACAGCCTGCCCTGAATACATATGAAACACATGAACACGTCGCAATGTAGTCTCTGGTGTATTTATATTGGGCTTGTATGCTCGTGGCTAGCTTACTAAGCTAGTGTGACCAGGAACAAAGGGGTTCTAATAAAAATTGAGTGATTTGCAATATTATTATTGTACTTTACATGTGACATGGGTTGGCATATGTTAGGATGCAAACATTTTGACAACACAAATGTAGTTTTGTCAAGCAAAGCGCATATAATGGGACTTATCGGTCTGATTTTGTATGCAGGTGAACTAGAAGCTGGTTAAGCATCTTATGTCATTACTGGATGTGTTAAGGACAGGAAAAAGGCTGGGTTGATGCAAACCTTCTCCTTCCTATCTGTGACCATATATTCATCTTGTTGACGACACAACAAATCAGTTTTAAAATCAGTTTGTTTCAGAGGACAGCTGGTGCATTTTTCATGTCTCGTGTTGTCAACGGGGGGCAAAGTTTCCCAGAGCGATGTAAAAATCTCCTCTTTTGTTATAAGGGCTGATCTGAACTCAGGGAAGCCCTAAAAACACTTACCTGGATGACCTCGTTGACCTCCCTGATACACTCCACCATATGCTGCAGGATCTGTTCGGCAGTTAGCACTTCAAAGCGGTAGTCTTCCTCGTCCTGCCCGGGCCCGAGGCCGCTGCCTCCCGTCTCCCCGCAGTCGTCTCGCTCTCCGCCGGCCACGACGGGATCAACCAACTCCACCTCGCCGAGCTCCAGGGTGTCGTCCGCGGTCTCCTCTTCGCCGCTGTCTTCGCTGCATTCCTCTTCCTCGTCGTCGAATTCGTAATTGTAACCCTCGTCTGAGTCCATGACTGGGTTGAGTTTAATGTAGCGACACGCCAAGTGGGATAAGTTTGATGTGTATTTTTTGTCAGATACAGCAAAACAAAGCGAGAATACTTCTTTAGCTTGCTAGCATTCCAGTTTTTCTAGGAGCAGAGAAAACAACAACAGAGGAGCGACGCTGCTGCTGCTGGGCCAACAAAGAGACGCAGCGTCACGGGCCGACGCTGGGTGATGTCATGTGCGTGACCCAGAACAAGACGTGTTTTAGAATAAAGTGTATACTGAATTTCTTCAGAAATTCCTATTACCAGTTAAACCAAGAGAAAAAGCACTGAAACATGTAATGCTCTGAAAGCATTGAAATTTATGTAATTTTCTTCCTTTCTTTTTTCTCTGGCAGCTAATGTTAATTTGATCATGTGAATATGTAATACCTCTTGTTCTTGTGGCACTGAATAAAAAAAGTTTTAAAATAAAGTTGTTAGGCTGCTGCTGCTCATTTAAAATGTTAATGTGCTATCATATACTGAATTTCTTTTTAAAAACTACATAAAAACATAAAACACATTTTATATTAGTGACGAAGTAATAAAAGGCGTTACTCTACTTTGTATGTTACATTGAATATGTACAGTGTAACATTTGTTCTATTAAACATTGTTGTGGAAGAATTTGAAAAAATATATATGTTAGGATAAAACTGGGATGTGTGGGAAGGATTAGTGTATTTGGTGGGATATTTTATTTTAAAGATGACATTTTGCATTGAAAAGAACTGCATAGTACAGCTGTTACTTTTATTTCGTAAACATCATATGCATACGAAAAATAGCCATTTTACAAACCAAATTTCACACATTTTATAAATTAAGTTGCATCATAAGAAAAGTTAAAGAAAAAAATCATAAAATCATTGTATTGTGAATTTGTATAAATATTTTTTTCTGTTGTTATGGCATAGTTTTTTCTCTGTTTTCTCTTTTTATTCTTTATTTATTATTATTATTAACTTGTCCTGTAAATGATTGCACTTTTACATCTTCAATAAATAATATATATTTTTAAAAGTCTAGGGAAAAGAACCATGTATGTATGGATTTTAGTTCACATTGTACATTGCACAAGTGTTAAATAGAAGAACAAATATGCAATTCAAACTAGAGTCTTATAATACAATCTATTTTATAATATAGATTATATGTTATGGTGGCATAGATAAATAGACAAAATTTCCTTTCTCTCGATAATAAAGTAGGTCATATTAAAATCATAACAGACCTGACCTGTTTTCTGTGGGGTGCCTCTTGGTAGGATCTTTTCAAAGTATGGAATTCTGTCAACTTGAAACACTTACAGCTTGACTTACCAAACGTTTATTAAATAGAAATGGCCAAATGAACAGCTACATCTAAAGCCTATGTAATGGTCCGACTCCGGAAATTCCTTGCGCTGTCCAGTAACTCAAAGAGGCGGAACTGAATAAAAGGAAAGTGTTTTCTACCGAACACATTTCGAACAAGTACGCGTTCTCCCGTTGCCGTGGCAGCAGCGACTTCAGGAAGAACGTTCGGGCGATTAATGATGGATGCTCGAGAGACAGGTAATTAATTGTTTTAAGATATTAATACATTTTTGAATTGAAATCAATCCACTGTATGTCCTATGCTACAAATCCAAGCGTTTGATTGTGCACTAACGTACCGTCCTGGCGTCTTTAAAGTTCCAGTGGGCCAGCCATCAGCCACGCACCTGCACTTCTACCAGCTAGCTTACGGAAATCTGGCAGACTAGTTTCAGAATTGTGATCAGATCTGTAACTTGTGTTTTCAGGAAATTAAAAATGCTGGCTGTGTTTTTGTAACGTTATTTAAACTTCTCTATCTGAACTTTCTATGAAACCCAAAAGATCTGCTGGGTGGCAATGAGAACATTGTTGAAATGCAGAATTTGGAAGAAGAGGATTTTGCTGTTTCAAAGTAAGTTATATAGTTTGTTTTCTTGAGTGAAAATGCGTGTATATTTCTCTAAATTACAATTTTTCTTATTTTATCCATAATACTTTGTCTCTTCAGATCATCAGATGCTGATGCAGAATTTGACATGGTTATTGGGAACATCGAGGATATTATAATGGGTATTTGTATGTCTATTATTCTATTAAGTCGTTGACACTTATGACAACAACTGTTAATCTTTAATATAATATTTTAGTATCCATCTATTATACGTGTGAATATCACATAATCTGTCAAGAACATGTCCTAGTTAATTTTGGTGGAAATTGTATTTAATATTATTTGTTTTCATTTATTTATGCAAAATGGAATTTATATTTCTTCCTTTTTTTGTTATGGTTTAGGATGAAATGAGACCTGGGCATGTATTCATGAAATTAACTCATCCAAATTATAACTGACACATGCAATTTTCTCCACAGAGGATGAATTCCAACATCTTCAGCAGTCTTTCATGGAGAAATATTACCTTGAGTTTGATGACTCCGAGGAGAACAAGCTCAGCTATACACCTATTTTTAATGAATATGTATGTGGTACTTTCAGCTGTTTTATCACTTGTTTATGACCCTTGTAGAGATGGAAGTACTGTATTTAAATGGCATTAATTAAATTTTGCTATTTCAGATTGAAGTCCTAGAAAAACATCTGGAACAGCAGTTGGTAGAGCGAATTCCTGGATTCAACATGGATGCCTTCATCCATTCACTTAAGTATGCCATATGAATTCATCTATTTTTCTGGGCTCGAATATAGTGTTCAGACTTGACAGTGACTGACAGTATTTCTTTTACACTGACGCTATCATATGATCTGTAAAATATACAACCCCTCCCCCCCACCCCCCTCATATGAGGAGCCACTACTAAAATTTAGAAGGCAGCTTTATATTTTCATGTATGAATACTCCATTTATACTGTGAAAAATAAAAATTATAAAAAATGTGTAAAATATTGTTTGGAATGGAATTTTTTTTCTACTCACTATAGTACTGTTAGTACTGTATTATTTTATTTTTATTTTAAAAAACCTGGTCTAAAATGTCTTTTGGTAATACACATAATTTACCACTAGATGGAGGTATTTACATAAGACGGTATGCATAGAACATTATTCCATGACTGTGACCTAAATTACTTTTCTGATTATTTATTATCTTTCTCAATTAGATGGCACAAAGATGAAGTCTCAGGTGACATACTTGACATGCTGCTCACTTTCACTGACTTTATGGCCTTTAAAGAGATGTTCATTGATTACAGAGCAGTAAGTACAAATCTGTTCTTTTCTTTATACTACAAAATATAGGTTTCATAATGTAAACTAATGTTTATTTAGAATGTGTTACAGTTCAGAGAAAAGCTGTTCTGCCCAGTTCGAAAGTAATTCTTGTCTATAATAAAATAACCTGACACGTAATCACCTACTACGATAAAACTTTGGCCTACTTTTCTTCTATCATGAACAAAAGCTATAAACTTGTCATAGACTGTGGCAGAAACTTATTTGCCGCCTTCTTTTTGTAGGAAAAGGAGGGCAGAGGATTGGACCTTAGTACCGGACTGGTGGTGAAATCTTTAAATTCTGCTTCTGCTTCACCTCTGACCTCTAGCATGGCCTCACAATCCAGCTGAACCAATGGGCATCTCATGTAAATGAACTTGGGTCAGTCAACACACATGATTATTCCCACACATCCCAAAACAACAGCCACTGTTACACTTGACAGAAGGGAATCGGTGTTTAATTTAGGTTAATGTTTAAACATAACATTGGGGTTAACTGTCAGCTTATCCGGTATGACTCCTCTAACACAGTATTCATCGGTCACAAAATCCACTCGGTCTGGATCAGTCTTTCATATCTTGTTGGCCTACAGCGCAGCTGTACGCACTATTGCTGTTTCTGACCAAACTGATGTAGAAAGCTATAATTAGCATTTGAGTATCGCAAAGCTGCCACTTTATTGCAAATATACCAAAATAATTCCTTTCACTTGACAATCATAAAGGGCTTTTCGATACAAAAGTATTATACAACGTGCCTGATATGAAAACCGATCTAAAAGACCCTTTTTCCATTTAAAAGACTTGCAAGTCTTTCCAAGTAAAATATTACAGAATTAAAAAGTGTTTATACAGTTACCTGAAACAACGTAAATAATCACATAGTTTTTCATGCTTTTAATGTGATTCTGAGTCCATGTTCTGGATGTCTCATATCTTCTGAGTGACAATGAGAAGGAAAGACTCATAAGAGCTTTTCAAAATAATGCTTAGTTTTGTTGATGTATACAAATACATCTTTTTACAAAAAAATTGTCTTTTTACTCTCTTGTTTACTTAGAAGAATGTGTTGTTCTTACTAGATGAATGTTGCGTTATTGTGTACATTTGTTTATTATTTGTATATATAGATATTTGAGCATTGTGTATGAAAGAAATAAATACAATGGTTTTTAATTATATTTTATCAAAGCATTTTTATGCTCAAAACAATTACATTCTTAAGCATAACTTTACAATAATGCAAGAACCTCACCACTTAAATATATATTTGCTGAAGTCATTTAGTTTATCTTAGAAAAATAGTACACTAAAAGGTGGGGCTGGTAAGATTTTTGATTTTTTTTTTTTAACTCTTAATGCTCACTAAGGCTGCATTTATTTGATCAAACATATACAGGGGCCGAGTGAGCTCAACGTGCTGCAAATGAAAAAACACCTGCAAATTAAGAAAACATCTTCATAAATTTGACAACACGTGCTGCAAATGCTCACAACACAAACAAAGAAACGCGCTGCAAATAGGCCACCTCGGAAATGTTTAAAGGAACAGCGAAGTGACAAACATGGCTGGGACATATTTATCAATGTTTGCTCTGAAAGGTGAAATTTTTGTTTATTTTAACATCCCGATTAGGGCTGGGAAAAAAAAAAAATCGATTTTTCGATATCGTTTTTTAAAATGAAAATCAATTTAAAATCAATATCGATTCTCAAAAGCCACGAATCGATTTTTTTCAATATTTATTTCCGCAAACATTGAACATAAGATTTACATTAATCTTATTACTAGTCTAATCCACTAGATGTCACCCCCTTATTTGCCTTGCGCAATGTTACAACGGAGAGTCCGTCATTCATTCATTGCTTAAAATGGCGGATTCAGGTGCGTTCCCGACGTCAACATAAAAAGTCAGAGGTATGGAAGCATTTTAGATTTCGCAAGCACGATGACAAAGATACTGTAGACAAGAACAAAGCTATATGCCAAACAGTTGATGGGCCCTTGACTTCCATAGTATGGAGAAAAATATATGGAAGTCAATGGGGACCAAAACAGTTTGGTTATCCATATTCTTCAAAATATCTTCTTTTGTGTTCAACAGAAGAAAAGAAATTCATACATGCATAAATGATGACAGAATTTTTATTTTTGGGTGAACTATCACCCAAAAGCCAGTATTAGTTTTCCTACACCGTTCATAGGCTTGCAGCCTCCATGTTACAGCTAATGCTGTGAGATTTTATGTTTGTTTTATCTTAAACATAAAATAACCTGATCCTGTTTGATCAAGGCATGCGACTGTTCTGACTTGTCCAATTTTCAGCATCAGTTTTTCATCTTGCATCAAAATTCTGTCTATTCATTGTATACATTTGAAATATATAGTGGGGTTTTGTTTTATTGTACCCAAGTGTACCTAAAATAAAAAGTGTTTAATATACAGGTTTGTGGCTCTTAATTTCCTATTAATCAACCATTTGTAATCTTATGTTCACTGTTCATTTTTTATAAATATAGGATTTGTATTAAATCTACATTCATATAGTCAAATCGAATCGAGAATTGAAATCAAAAATCTACTACACTAACCATAGTTTAACCATGGTAGTTGTACAACTGTGGTTAAACAAATGGTAATCAATACGCCAAAAAAAAAAAAAAAAACAGTCAATTTTAATTTTGTTGGGGTAATTTTATTGCTGTCTGTGCTACTTGCACGTTTCTTTGTTTGTGTTGTGAGCATTTGCAGCACGTGCTGTCAAACTGATTAAGATGTTTTCTTAATTTGCTGGTGCTTTTTCTATTTGCATATGCAGCGCATCGAGCTCTCTCGGCCACCGTAAACATACAATAAAAACAGTAATACTGCAAAATGTTATTGCAATCTAAAATAGTGTTTCTAGGTGCTGATAGCCTAGTGGGCAGTGTGCCGACATGCAGCGCCATTGCGCTTCGGGCATGCCGAGTCCCGGTTTGCGGACTTTTCCCAATCCCGTATCAGCATTTTTTTTTAATCTAAAATCTTTTGTAAGATTATAAATGTATTTACTGTCACTTTTGATCAATTCAATGCATCCTTGCTGAGTAAAATAGTTAATTTCATTCTTTAAAAAAAAATCTTACTGACCCCACCCACGCCTGCTGCACATAAGCATACACACAATGTCCATGTTATAAACCATCAAGCAATTATGCTGGGCACCATTATACAGAAGGGTTGTTGGACGTTCCTGAAGAGGATTTTCAGCAGTGCCAAATAATCTGAGTAATATCACCTTCGAAGTGTCCTCACATAGTGACTGAGAATGTTAATCAGAGGATGGTCTACACAGGCACTGTACTTGCCGCTGCATTTTGCCCTTCACCCCTCCAGTCCAAATAGGCAAAGTAGCTGCTAGCTCCGTATAACAGAGTCACCACTATGGCAAAGAACTGAAAGAAAAGAAGAACGATAAAAATGACAAAAATGTATACAGACCTTACATATAGCACTCATGTATACGAAGTATGGAGTTCCCAAAATAAGATATTTTTTTAAATGTCTGTCTGTGTGTGTTTTCATACAATAAACATTAATGGGGTTCAGTGTTGTTTTGGACTCCAATGACATTCATTGTATATGCAAAAACAGTTAAAACAGTCTTCAGAATAAAGAAAGTCATACAAATTTTAATTTATGCGTGAATTGTCCCTTTAAGAACTTAGGAACGTAATCCTTAATACAAGTTAAACAACAGATAAATGATTTCAGGGCATAAAACTGTTTTACAGGAAAGTATATAAATAGCCATTGAGCAGATATGTAGATTTAAAGGGGTCCTATTATGTTCTTTTACAAAGTATTGATTATGTTTTGGGGGTGTACTAGAACATGCTCTCATGCTTGGTGGTTCGAAAAACGCATTATTTTTCACATAATTTACATTATTAAAATACCTTTCTCCCCAGGCTGGCACAAACGGCTCGATTAGTTCCGGCTTTGATGAAGGTCCGCCTTCCGAAAAACAAAATGTGTTGTGATTGGTTAGCTGTCCCAGTGCGTTGTGATTGGCGAACAGCTTAGACGGTGTTTCAGTACTGCCACGCCCCTTGCTCCGTCTTTCAACAAAAGCTTTTTGGGCGAATCCGGCAGGCACTGTACTCCTCATGTTGTGGACGCTGTCCTCAGTAAAATGCGCAGCCCACAAAAGCAAATTGGGGTTATAACGCTCAGGGACAGAGTAAAAAAATAAATAGCAACCACTGTTTCCTGACATCATCCGCTTTCGGATTGTAATAACTTCGAAACTTAAGCTGTTGACCTTTACACATGGAGGAGGTATAAACTGTGATTACACTCCTCCACTGAAAGCATTACAGGTTTGTCATGTGCTTGCCGCACAATTTCATGTGGACTCTGGCCGATGTGGTTTTTAAAGCCCTATAAAACACACATAGCACTCTACAACCTTGCTTTTGAACTTATCTGACAGTTTCACATTGTAACCATCTACTAAAAGCCTTTCATTTGATCTACAAAACTGTATTGAGTATTTTAGTATAATAATGCTTTAACCAGACAAGTGAAGGTAATGCTTCGTATTAGATGTTCTGGCTTAAAACATATTAATATTATTATTATTTTTAAGAAAGCCCTATCTACACTACCAACAAAAATTTGGAGCCAGTAAGATTTCTTAATGTTTTTGAGAAAAACATCCCGTGCTCACGAAGGTTCATTTATTTGATCAAAAATTCAGTCAAATCAGTAACATTATAAAATATTATCACAGTTTAAAATAAATATTTTCTATTTTAATATATTTTAAAATGTGATTTATTTCTGTGATGGAAAAGATCCAGACTTCAGTGTCACATGATTCTTCGGAAATCATTCCAGGGTTTGTACGGGTGCTTGAATTCCTTGAAAATGCTTGAATTTTAATGTAGTGTTTTCAAGGTTTGAAAAATGCTTGGATTTTGGATAAAGTGCTTGAAAATGCAGTTGCATTGGTTTAATAATAATTCACTTTCTTACTGAATAGTTCGTCAATTTTATTTTATTTATTTTTTTACATAAAATTTGCCTAAAACAGCTCCGCTCGAGTCTGCGCGTGTGGCTGTAGTGTTATCTTTATTAATGCACGCAGCGCGCCCTCTGATGGAGCAGAGCGGGAGATAAAAACATGTCGGGAGGTTGCCGCTTCAGTCAGCGATTGCTTTAAAACGACAAATATGGTTAAAACAAGAGCTAAATACTTGAGTAGCCTCCTGCTAAGTCTGTATTTCATGGAAGAGTCAGCGCTTTCGAGCCATATAAAAGGTAGGGGTGTGCCGATCTGTTATTTAGTATCGGTATCGCTCCGATACTGCCACTTTCTACTGGATCGGGGTATCGGTCAGACGAGACCGATCCAAATCCGATATTGTGCGTATACTATTCTGTGTTATTGTTAAGCCCCACGAAAGGCACAAAAATATTATAAAGCACCATAAAGTTTCCGTGCACTATATTTCAAGTGTTCTGAGGCAGTTCCATAGTTTAATGTGAGGTAGATGAATATTTAAGTCTTTAAATTCAAGTTCACGTAAACTCTTCTCTCCGCTGCGGCTGTCTGTCATCCTCCATTCAGCATTCAAACTGCGTGTCGCGTTCGGTTACGACAGTCAAGACGACGAAACTCTCTCTAGGATGATACAATGTTCCTATTATTATACTTGATGTATAATAGAGATATTTAGTTTATTGCTGAGTTTAGTGCTAATTCTAAAGCATGTTACTTTCTACCGGGTGTCTGTTAGATCACTACACTGGAGTAGAGAGCACTATGAATTGTTCTTCACACGCACAGGAACTGAAATTTAAAACTGTTAAAAGAAAAGGCTCAATAAACTATCGCACAGATTTAATACACTACGCATCAATATCTCTTCCCTTTGTGCTTTGAACTTTTCTATCTGGAGCGCTGCGCTGTGACTCCGTGTTGATTCAAGCGCATCATTCTGCGCACA